CTGGCGCTCCATCACCTGCACCAAGCTCCGCCTCTGTCTTTTTAGCCTTTTGTCTTGTCCCACCCGTTCTCTCCCCAACTTCCTTTTGGCCTCACAGGCAGAAACGGTCACCTTGGAACGATGGAGGCTCCGCAAGACTTCACTCCTTTCCAAGGAGCAGAATGCCTGCTGCGCCCATGTGTTCCTCCCTCGGTTAAGGTGTCCTTTCAGAGAAACCAAGGGAGGGGTTTTGGTTCAGTCAGTTGTGGTTTAGGGCTACAGGTTTTGGTTTTTTCATTTTTTAAGACTGGTGAGATGTCAGCTCCAAATTACGAGCTACACAGATACAGTGACTGGGTGTTTTTGTGAGCTGTCCCACACCAAAACCAACCCCACTACTGCTCGTTTGGTTAAGGAGCTGAGTGCATCACTCACACCCACCCAGAAGCAGCTGCAAGTTAAGAAATCCTTGTATCACTTAAGCAGCATTTACGTTGTGAAATCCACTTTTCAACTTAAGTGCACAATTGAGAGCCCAGTTTTGTTTTGTTTTTTTGGAATAGTTTTACTTCCTGAAGAGTAGTTGGTGCTAGTCATTCTCTATTACTCAATGCTAGTGAGCGATCCCTCGGTGCTGACCATGACAAGACAGATCAGTCTGGCTTTAATCCATAACACAAAGAAAATTACCTTGAAAAATACAAACTTTTCTGTGGTGCTTCTGTCTTAAATTCATGACTGAGGTTCCCAGATCTACCCTCATATCTAGGTAGACAAGCAACCACAAATCTGAAAGCGTGTATATCCGAGTTACCCTACAGAGAACTTTCTTGTTCGCTGTGATGAGGCAATGGCAATATTGGTTTTAAGTATTCATCCATGAACACACCCGTAAACTTCACTTCTTCTAAGAAGCTCCAAGAAGTCAAACCAACTGCATAAGGCAGTAATGAAAACAAGGGTTTTATTTACGTTGTGACACTTAACACTGTTTTCAAACAGAATAATTACATTTGTGAGGTGGTATCATCATGAACGCCACAAAAAAGCATGTTACAGAAACAAAGAGTTCTGGTGAGATATACAAGTTTAACGTGAGAGGGAGCTGTGGAAAAAATATGCGCAGTTTCCATGAACTGTGTACCACTCTGTGTGAACGGAAGTTTAAGAACAAAAACAACTTTAAAGACAGAGTGATCTTCCTATTGGAAGCATAGTGAAAATGTTTTCCTTAAAGGGTGTGCAGCTTGAGGACTTAAACCTGTGCAAGAAGCTTCACAAATATGATGCTGTGGAGCTTTGTGTCCACATTAGTAAGGGCTGCACGTCTTTTGTTTCCTCTTGACACCAGTCTTCAGTGTACAATTGAGCCTCTACCGCGTGCACCCAGCCTTTCAGTTAAAAGCAGTGTCAGGTACATCATGTTGCACTCCAGGGGAGTGAGATGAAGAAGCACAAACAGAATTTTTGCTGGGACTGAAGAGAATGAAGAGGAGAATAAAGCCTTTAATAAAGCCTGTAATTAAAACCAGGACAAGTTCCAAAAAGGCATTTAACTAAAACTTGGGGGCTTGGTGGCACAGAAAAAGGAGTATCACCCAGACAGCTGAAAAATCATCTGACTGATGAAAGAACGTCCCACACATTCCGAGGTTCATTTAAAACGATCTTCGTGACTTCCAGACTGTCCATCCCTAAAAGCTACAGAGCCATTTAATCCAGGATTTTGGAAGCCATTACAGGAAAGATCTTTACTAGAAGTTAGCAAAGTTGATTTTGTTTGTTAAACAAAATGCTTTACAAAACATCCCCACTGAGCACCAAAATGAAAATTGGGCACAAAGTGTGGGGGAAAGAAGGACAGGACATGAGCTCACATAAGAAATGCTTCTCACAGTTCCGTCTGAATTGCAGATACGAAGTATCTACCTGTACTTACCACAAAGTACAAGTAATCTGTTCTACAGCATCACAGAAGACACCTGCGTTACCCAGATGCACTGGTCACTTTGACTCATCCATGTTCCAGTCGGAAAGGTCTCGAGAGGGCTTTGCTGCCTCCGCCAGGGCAGAGCTGGCCACCCGCTGCCCAGCCTCAGACACCACTGGCACAGACACGCTGAACACTGCAAGCTGCTATATAGAGGGTACAAGCTCTGAGTTTTGAAATCCTATTCTTGGGAGCCAAATTTAAAGCCACAGTAAGTGACTTCAGGAGTCGGAAATATCTAAATGCTTATTCTTTGCCCCTGCTTACTCTCTAGACGTGACTGTGGTTGATACAAGAAGAAATAGCTTCCTCCATATTGAAAAATTAGGATCACCACATTAGACCGAATCAAGAGTTCAGCTCTTCCTTGTGAAAAGACGCACTTAATCCTGATTCCAGCGCTAAATATCCCACAACTGACAATGGTGTTACCTACAAAAGAGATAGTCGGGAAAGGCACACTACAACACCCAATTCGCACAACTTGTGGTTATCTTTGGCAATGCATCCATTTTCATGCATTATCCTGTATCCATCTTTCAAAGGACAGCATCCTCTTGCCTTATTCACCTTCAATCTCTCTGGGATTCCATGAAAGCTCACACTTGAGAATGTATGTAATTGTAAAATAACTCTCATTCCTTTATTCAAACTTCACATATACAGTGGACAAAAAGACATTTTAAAATATATCCATATAACTATATGGATTTTTGCAACATATCAAATTCAGATCAAAATTAAGATATACACTGTATTCCATAACCAGGCTAAAGCTTCATTTGTGTAATAAAACCCAGGAACTACTCTGAATACTGGAACATTCACCAGTCAAATTCCACCGAGCAGGAAGTTGTTTACAGCGATTTGGAGGTTCAGAATCCCTCTTTACAGGGGCTATACAACCACACCGTGAACAAGTGTTTGAATTAGGCATTTCCCCTTCTCTTCTTCCAACCAGCCTTCATTTTACAAAAAGCAGCTGCGGTAAGTGGCGATGCATACAGGAAGATTTAGACCAGTGGTTTGCAGTACGTGGGTTACCAACTCCAAATGAGTCACAGATCACCAGCAGTTATCTTATATAAAGAACAGCCAGAGTCCAAACTCAGCTTTTCTTCACCATCCTGATGTGGATTTGCTCACGGCTGGGTGTCTCTCCTCAGGTGCCAGTAACACAAGCACTCTTCATGCAACTGGAAAGGACCAAAAGTTTGAAACGAGCCAGAAGAGTGACCATGGATGTGGTTTTAAGACAAAAGCTAGAAGGAACTTCCATGTCCTCATAAGCCAAAGAGAGCTCCACAACACATACAGTGCCGATGGAAGAGATAATGACAGCTAAATGCAAAATTCAAGTTAGCACATTTCCAGTGTAAAAACATTCCTTCCACCAGAAGTTAGTACTGCCTTACTCGGAAACTAACAACTGATTCCAAACACCATTTTTAAAAATAATACAGCTCTTCTTCTAAAGCCCGGGAAAGCACAGGTAATAACATACTGAAATCTAGATTAACAGGTCAACACTTTACAGAAGAGTTGTAAGACTTAAATAATCCCTTTTTAAACTGCTTAACACATCTGATAAATAGCTTGCATGTCAATCTGATATATGCTGTACCGTCTGGCTCTTGAATCCCAAACCTTTCCGTAAGAGATACCACATTTAGAACATTGTCAAATAAACAGTAAAAAACCCAAAGGATACTGTCTGTTTTGAAGCATGAAGAGTAACAGTGCATCACACAAGATAATAATCAGCGCTATACATACAGGGAATGCCACTCTGGTTGAACAGATTATGAAGCAGTATTCTCCATGAAATACTAGGCACAAGAACAAATCAATTAGACAGGTTTTTCTGCCTAATGGACAAGTCTAAAATTAACATTCTTGGCAATACAACATTGTAACTGATATGCTTCTCAATATTTAAGAGCCTTAATTGCAAAAATCATGAAGTGGTGTTTATATTTGTGTCTTTGACAAGCAGTTACAGCTCTGGACAGATTTCTTCTATGCTGTGTGCTCTACTTTCCAGCTGGTCACCAGTAGCATGTGCTGCATGAGAAAGATTATAAAAAAAAAAAAATAATGCTTCACACTCTTCAAGTATTTTCAAAACACACACAAAAGTCCTCCTGAAATCATCTTTGCTTCTCCAAAGGTAACGTCTGCCAACCCATTTTAGCAATCTACAAGCTTTAAGCTCGAGAGTGCAGAAGTTTCAGAACATGAGGGTGAACTAACAGAAGAAATGGCTAACACCACTGGTCAGCACACCAAGCACTGAATGCTCACCACCCCTGAAACTGGGAGGATTTAACCCAGGAGCTGAGAGAAACCAGTCTGCAGAACTAACACAAGATTCCTGAAATATAAGCAAGCATAGTATTTTTCAGGTCAAATTTCAATTCCAGATGAGACACTTTTAAACAAAATAAGCTTACAAATGAAGGAGTACAGTCGTTGTGGTTTTTCAGGAGGCTGTTAAACTCGTGTTTTCGAGAACCAGCAATAAATCACAGCAAGTTCCTTCTCATTAGTGCTTTTCTTATGAAAAAGCCCACTATATATCTATAAAAATATGTGTATGTATATATATGCACACCTGAAAATTCAGCACCATAAAGCAAAGATCAGAGAAACACACATCCAGATGATAATCTTCTTTTAAAAAAGGCCAGTTAGGCTTCAGCATAAGTCAGACTTGGTAACAAGCACAGTTTACCAAGCGACTAGCACGGCTAACAAGCAGAACCTATTTGTGTATGCTCCCAGCCTTCCCACTGAAGTCATCTTTAGGGTGACGCTCACCCTGGTTAAGAAAACACAATTTATTCTGCATCTACCAAAGGCCAAAAGGGCACACCCAGTCAGCTGACAGCTAAACTGATGAGCAGTATCTGAGCAGCGTTATCACAGCAGCGAATGCTAAATGAACCATAAAGAGAGAACAATAGTTTTACTGCTTGTCAATTGAACTGCTATGGATCACGCCCTTGTAGCGTGATACTTTTGTGTAGCCGAAGACAGGTCTGCACTGAAATCACCATGCTTAAATCTACCTCCAGTAGGAATCCTTCCTTCAGGGATTTCAAAGAGGATTTCTAAAGGAAAAGTGTTTAGGGAGAGGAACAAAGGTCACTTTTGCTGGCAAAGTCGATTTACATTGTTCATAGAGAGTAGCCAGAGAAACTCCAGAGAGGCTGACATGCTGAAGCAAGCAATCCTAGTGCAGTCTATTACAACTTCAACTTCCTTTTCTACCAAAAAGTTGGCTGCTTGAATCCATGTGCATGGGATAAGTTACAGTTACTTGAAGCAAGAAAGGAATGACCACTTAAAATGCTTGGTAGCCCACGATGAAGGCAGGGGCAAAAATAGACAAACAGTTCTCACCATCACTGACTGGACTGGCCGTCTTCATTTCCATCAGCAAGAAATCTCAGTCTGTAACCAAGAAGCGCAACTCGTATTAGCAGACCTGGTGGTATCTGACAGAAGCCTTCTCAAAAATCTGTCCTAAGTCTTTAGCCCCTTCTTCAAAAGGCGGCTGTAGTGATTAGAAGAGTACCGTCAGTTTTATTCAGATACAAACCAGATAGGATTAAGGGTAGAAAGGAACATCAGGTAAGTGAAGCACAGAACCCTTAAGGGATCCTCAGGGACAAAAGAAAAAAAAAAGTTCCAGGTGAGAAGAGAGTCTCACTGCCTGAAAAACAATGCAGGAGCCAGCAGAGGCCTAGTGTCACAACTCACCACTAGGAAAAAAAAAAAAAGGCCTCTTATGGCACATTTTTACCTGGAATGACCATCAGTGCTACAGAAGTCATGCTATTCCAGTGGAATAAAAAAAACAAACAACCAAACAAAAAACACTGCATGCCAGCTCTCCTAGAGATTGTCGATTTCAAGACGTAATAGATGAGTGGTAGCCACATCACCCAATGCTCTTCAGAACTTCAGAAGAACTTGAATGCTTCAGAAGAAGTTGAACGGAAGGAATTATCAAAATGCAGCTACAACACAACATGCAGAGAGACAGACATTTCCTTTGCATTTGAAAGCAGGCATCAGAGCTGTTAGTCAGTTTAATGGAGTGAAGCCAAAATAAGCCATCACAAAAATCAGCTCCTGCATCACCCAATACACTGAGGAAAGAAAACCCTCCTGTTCTGCTCTGTAAGAAGGCACTTTTATACAACAAATTGAAGTAACAGAGCTCTTGAGAAAGCTATCCAGATGAATTATCTTTCCACACAATTTACAGTCCTAACAGGGGAATCTCAGGAACAAAAACATTAATAGCATTTTGATCCACTTCCATGAAGGTAACAACCACACTGAAATACCATTTTAAATACTAATTTGCTTAATGTAACCAAAACCATGGCATGACCAAAGACATAGACCAGCAAAAAACCCAAGGAGTGAGTGTTAAAACCAGCTATTTCAGAAACAATCTGTAGCTCTAGTATCTGTTTAATTTATGAATAAGGAGATACTTCTGTGTCCTCAGGATACAGATGAGAGATAAAGAGATGTCATCTCAAAAAAGTAATTTCAGTAAAACTGACATTACTTTAACATAGCTATGTTGCTGAACATGTATCTTCTCAATGTAGAAATTTCTTAAAATGTGGGCAGTGGCAGAAGACAGAGAGGCTTATTAACAGTTTTGTCCATATTCCATCATCCTTTGACCAACCCAGGAATGACACACGGTGAGTCCCCAGGTGGGGGCATTCAGTTCACCAGCTGCTAGGAAAGTGAGACCAGTACTCAACTTCAGAAGAACTCATCGAGTACAGAGACCAGAAGTTAATGGTAGTTGATACAGAGATTAGGAGATTGCAAAACATCAAGGTTTAAGCAGAATGACACAAAACGGAAGTGAAGAATTGAGAACTACATCAAGTCAATGGAAAGTATTTCTATATGCTGTTGCGTGGAGGCGAACCAGTTAGTTAATGGGTTGATAACCTGGCAAACAGTTACATTTATGGAATCTACTGGCCATGAGCAGCCTAAAATTGATAATTACCAGTTGTGGCTCTGAAGCTGGTTATGAAGCAAGGTGGAATGGACTTCAACAATAAAGATGGAAAAATGCTGCAAAGGGGTGCCTTCCTTCCACTGGTGAATGCAGCTGGGGAGCGCAGTTGCCTCTGTTTTACAGCAGAGTGCAGCGAGATGGCAGCTTCAAGCCATGGAGAAAGGTCATAAGGTTGCCTATTGGAGCCCTCCTTTCCCCTGGAGAGTGAAGTTCTAGTAAATAGCCATTATAAGGCATATGTTAAGTTACTGGATAAAGTTAGTCCATGAATGGGTCTCAGACACATACCAAATGACCTTTTTTTGAGCAAATATGAAGGCATTAGTCTGCCTGTAATAAATAATGGGACTAAAATGTGCAATCCATAGACTTCAAAATACACAACTTCGCAAATCAGCTTTTCACTGTGTGGAATTTCAAATAATTTTAGAAGAGTTCTTAGCCACACGGTTGTGAAAAGCAAATGTGAACCAAGTTAAACCCATGCAGCATCTTCCCAAGTCTGCAGACTGTGCCAACATCTCACAGCTTTGCCAAGAAACAGAATGAATGAGGCTTACAGACTTCATTGCCATTAATCTCATGTGCAATAGGTGTCTTTTTTTTTAATGCCAAAAACTTGTTCAAAGTGCTGTTACACACAGGGGTGGGTAGTGAGCAGCGGTAATTATTCGCCAGAAGGCTACCACAAAAATCAAAGATGTATTATACAGTTTACCCTTTCCACCCAGAGAAAAGCTTAAAGATGAAAGAGAAGGTGTCAGCCTCCATAGTTCTCTGAGTCTTCCTATCAAGAGGCAGCCCTGAAGCAGGTTCCAGAAAGCTCCCAGCTTAAAGTCCCAGACTTTGTTCCAGTAGCTGCACTAAAAGCAAAGCTGAGAGTCTTATCCCATACTATAGAAATGAACATTGCTAACGAAGGACAAGTGCACCCTGAAGTCCTAACAGCACTTCTACATCACCCTAAGACAGGTGGTTGTTCTTACTCAGGAAGCTGGA